AATTCTCGAAATCCTTTTCCATGGTTAATGAATCTCAAAGTGCTGTTTGATTGCGAGTTATGCTGAAGTTGTTCGGTTCCCATTATTTGAATTCGAGTCAGAATTTGTTTGGATTCGAGTGCATCTGGTTGCAATTTCCCTGTAAAGTTTATGTTGGAACAGAACAGTAAAATTTGTGGCTCCAAAAACTTGCGGAAATGGCTTGTGGTGACCTGACTGGACAAATTGTTTTCATTTTCATTTTTTCAATTATGGAAGTTCTTTCGATGCCTATAATTAGTGAGGCGGCTGTTAAAAAACTAGAGCAATAAGAAACAGGTGGAAATTTTGGGTGCTGCAAAGCCAATTATGCTTGTAAGTGAGTTCAATGGTTTCATGATCAGATTTTCTTGTTGTATGTTGCTTGATTTGCTCGTGTGGCGGGTCTAAAAGATTGTGATTCACAGACAAAAAGTTGGGAAAAAAGGAAGTATAGAACATCTTAAATCAAGTCCCCTTGCGAACTACAATTTGGAAAAGAACGAACATATAGTTTGTGCTAGCTGCTGAGGTTTTATTGATAACAGCCATTTTAGACAGTTTATCCTGTTTATCGTACCTTATAAAGTTGTGTTGAAATTATTGCATGAAGCTGATGCCATTATTCCTTACCCAGTAGCTCTTTCACCACTTGCTTTGTTTAATAAAAGGGATTACCCCTTATCCCCTAAATCGAAAATATCAGTTAATTAACTGAGAAAGGCAATTTTTGCAGGTGAGAATGAGAGCAAAACGATTCTGGATGCATTTTTCTTGGGGAAAGCTGTGGGAGAAGCCGTTAGCGAGCGCATAGAATCAGCTGTGGGCGAGTTTCTGAGCACGATTGGGAGATTGCAAGCTGAGCAACAAAAGCAAGTACAAGAATTTCAGGTGTGTGCATGAATGTAGTCCTATGTGATAATTTATTTTATAGAGTTATAGTTTAGTGGAAACTCATTAACCCAGCATCATCTGGTACTGCATTCACTTGCCCATAATTTTGGATTTTGGATATTTTTTTCATGCCCTTAAGAACGACCTAAAAAAATTACCTTTATGTACTGAGTTGATAAGGTTGATATGTAATTTGCTAAAATACTCATCTCAATCATCTTGTACATGTCATTGTTTTAATGAGGAAAAAAATGCTAAATTTGACGAAAAATGATGCTTTTGCAGGAGGAGGTGCTGGAAAAGGCTAGACGAGCCAAGGAGCAAGCTGCAAAGGAAGCCATGGAGTCACAGGGGCAAATAATTGCAAAGTCTCCAGCTGCAGATAAAGTATCAACAGTTAACGGTGTTCCTATAAACGCATCCGCTGTTTCTGGTTCAGTGACCTCAATCGACTCATCCTTGGAATCAGAACCTTCTACTGAAGACCCTCAGAATTTTAATTGAGTTGTGATCTTATGAACATACTATGCTGTTGTGTTACTATATAGATACAAGTATGAGCCAGTTGGCTTTTAGCCAACTAGAGTTGCATAAAAATGAAAAATGGCCATGCTTTGTAGAAGTCTAAATATTAGCCATTTTACCATAAAAAGACAAATTTACTTTTACTTTATATTTTGGAAAATGTTACAAGTACATAATAAATGTATATAGATGTGCACATAGCACTCACATGTAGTGGGGTCTACTTGATTTTTTATTTGAGAAATGTTATAGGTACATAATATTGTAGATATAGGTGTATATAACACTCCCAATCCTCCAATTATCGATGTATGATGTAAGAACCTGTGGAGTGAGGTATCCCTAGTACGAGACAGATGAATAGGTGGCAACATATAACCAATCACAATTCTCCACAATTTTTTTCCAATTAAAAAACTTTTCATAGCGGTGGATAGGAGCGTTTGGAGGCTAGCAATCAACATGCCAGAACTGTGACTTTTGCTCCTTTCTCTTTTGCTCCAATTTCTTCCTTTTTTGTTTTTGAGCCCTTTTTGTGTTTCTCTTACCATTGGTTCTCTTGGGTTTCATCTCTAGTCTACCCCAACTTGTTTGGGACTAAAAGGCTATGTTTTTGTTGTTGTTGTAAAAAACTTTTCATAGACTGTGCCCAAAGTCTATAATTATCTATTGATAAGACGACACTAATAGGAGAATGCATATCCATACGATCGGCAAAAATTCAATTATGGTCCGCTAACTTATCCATTGTTCATTTTTTGTACACTATCTTCCCCTTCATAAAAAAGTGGTCCATTATGTTACAATTTTCATCAGTTTTAGTACATTAATCTCGTGGTCAGAGATTACGAGATGCCAAATCAGATTTTTATCTTACCATATCAATACCTTATCCTCCGACGTAGTTCCAATCCCGGTCTACGTCATCTCGTAATCCCGCCAACTGGCGTAGCGTACTAAAACTGATGAAAAATGTAACATAATGGACTATTTTTTATGAGGGGAAATATAGTATTCCCAAAGTGGACAATTAGCAAGTTTGCGGACCAAAATTGGATTTTTGCCCCATACGATCCATATAACAGATAAACACCACAATATCGAATCACAAATCAGATAAAATATCAGTACAGGCAGCAATTGAAAAGTTCACGAATACCAAATCCGACCACACTACAAGGTAGCCAACGATGAGACGAGTGGACGACTGAAAAACGGTGGTGATCGGAGAAGAGGCTGAACCTCACGCGTCGGTTGAAGCTGTCAGCGCTGTCGCAAAGATCAAGCGCGTGTGGGCCCACGCGCCGCCTTTTGGCCTGGAAGTTTTGTCGAATGTTCGCCGTGGGACGCCGGAGGGGATGGTTGGGATGGTGAGAGTCAACGGTGACTGGAGACGAACGACAAAAGACCAAGCATATGTTGGACCTTAATCTAACCCTGCAATACATAATACAACAACTATATAACTAACAAAAATATCTCAAATTGGATAGGAAAAATATAAACGATATTTTTGTATTATATATTTTTATAATTATAATATTTTTCTAAAAACGAATTTCAAACCGAATCGAATATGTTCGAATATTCTAACCGAGTCAAATACGAATAAAAAAATAAATTCGTTTAGGAATCGAATATGTTTGAATGCATCTGGTTGCACTTTTCCTAGAAACCAAAAACTTATGGAAATGTCTAGTGGTGACCTGACTTGGGCAAGTTGTTCTCATTTCATTTTTTAATTATTGATGTTCTTTTCATGCCTAGAATTAGCTAGGTGGCTGTTAAAAAACTAAAACAACAAGAAACAGGTAGAAAATTTGGGTGCTGCAAAGCCGAAAATTTGAGTTCAATAGTTTCGAGATCAAGATTTTTTTGTTGTATGTTGCTTGATTTGCTCATGCTCCGGGTCTAAAAGTATTGTGATTCATAGAAAAACTTTGGGGCAAAAAGGAAGTATAGAACATCTGAAATCAAGTCCCCTTAAGAACTACCAATTGTATAATTTCCTGCTGTCTGATGAGGTTTAACTTATAAAGTTGTGTTGAAATTATTGCATGAAGCTGGTTTCTTTAAGCACCACTTGCATCGTTCACTAAAAGGGATACCTCTTTTTCCCCCAAAACGAAAAAATCAGTCGATTAACTGAGAATGGCAATTTTTGCAGGTGAAAATGAGAGCAAAACAATTTTGGATGCATTTTTCTTGGAGAAAGCTGTGGGAGAAGCCGGTAGCGAGCGCCATTTGCACCCTTAGGCTGGAGATATATTACTGTTCATAACAATTTCTTACACATCTGTGTAAATGCAGACCAAAGTACTAATATTTAAAAGCTTATAAAGTTCTCATCAAATTGTTGTCCCACAAAACTGTTACACATTTGAAATGTTACCCATAAAGTCAGAATCGACAAATGATAATTTAAGCAAACTTTAGTCGAGTGTTACTTTTTCATTTCACTCATTGTCCAACTCAACTCCGGATGGCAGCTCAAATCTATTCTTTTGGCCATCACCTGCCACATCATCATCATCATCATCATCATCATCATCATCACCAACATCCATATCAGACTCCTTCCTGACGTAATCAACTTTAAAATCGTAATCATCATTCGCATCATGTTCCATTGCAGCCGGCTGACTTTCCCTTTTAAGCTTCTTCTTCTCCGCTTTTCTTAGCTTTGTATTGAGCATACCTTCCTCTGCATACAGCTTCTCGTTTTGCTTCTTTGAGCTATTGCCTGATTTCACATTTTCCGGTTGGGCACTCTGTTCATTAGTTTCCATACTCTGATCGGCATCACCACCTTCAACCGGAGCCTGCAGTTCTCCATCACCCTGCACATTTTTCACATTAAGTTTTCTTTTGGTAATTACATACATTTAAAAAAAAAAAAAAAAAAAAAAAAAAAAAAAAAAAAATTATGAAGAACAGAATGCCTGATTTAAATAACAAACCTCAACCATCAGGTCGAAATTAAATGGATTATTTGAAGGCACTTCAACAGGGTTGAATTCGTTGACAGATTTTAAACTGCCGATAAAGGTTGACTCGCCACCATAAACTTCGTCCACGTTGAACTCCTTCCCAAGTTCAGGGACAATTCTTGCCTCGGAAAGATCCTCCGCATTTCTAGTTGGAGGCATCGTATAATATGGAATTTTACCTGCGCATAACAAAGTAAAATCATGTTATTTGTGTACTATATTTTGATTGAGGAATTACAAGGGGTATGTATAAAAAGACTAATTTACCCTCATTCCAATCGTGCAAAACAATCCTTGCAGCTGCATCCACATCCACAATGCCACCTTTTTTGAGTTTGCCCCTCACAGTGGCAACATTCTGAAGGAATTCATCAACAGAATTAAAGCTCGGGATCTTGTATATCGTCACCAACACTTTCTCCGGACAAAGCTTCAGAATTTCCTTAACTGCACACAGTCACGGCACTAGGTTAAAAAAGAACTAAAAGTAAAATAAAACTTTTTGATACTCTTGTAAAGGTAAAATCAGCAGCTAAGTCGGTGAAAAAAATTTCATTTACCAGGACCAACTGGATCGTCTAACTTTTCAATTCTCTTGCAATTTCGAAGAGTAACCGAAGAATCATTCTCGGTAGATTTAAGCATAACGACCCCAGGGCAGTCTAGTAATTTAACGTTTTTGTCCAGCTGGACTTCTTGCATGGACCTTGTGAGTCCAGGCGTGGCACCAACGTTGACAACATGTGATCTTTTCAAGCTGTTAATTAGACTACTTTTACCGACATTTGGAAGGCCAATAACACCCACAGTGATCGATTTTTTTATCTGAAAAAAAACAAAATAAATAATTGCAATTGATGGTGCATGTGCCCTAGTTTTTGAAATTGTCAAACTATACCTCATGGCTTCTTGAATAGTTTTTCAGCAACTTAAGTAAAGTCTCAGCCCCCAGACAGTCACTTGTTTGCAAGAGATTGTTTGCCTTGCCAGTTTTTCCAGCCTTTCGACCAGATTTCCATCCTAAGTTCGATTTCTGTTCTTGCGTACTGCATTTAAACGCGACTGCTGGTAACTCCTCTCTAAGATACTTGAGCCACTTTTCAGCAGCTTCACGAGGGACTAAATCTGTAGATATTCAGTCAGTTAGCCACATATGTTTTTAAGATTTTTGTCATAGCGATTATTTTCTACCCACCCTTCATGTTTAAGAATCTAAACAAAAAACATACAGTAAAAGCTCCAAGATAAAGAACACACTCACTTTGATAAACAACCCAACAATGACAAATGCTATCTCACGTTGATACTGAAAACTTATAATCAATCAACACACATGAACAATCAGGATTTGCTGCTTTTTCAGACAATGGTTCGGTTTTGGGTAGCAGGATATGAACTTCTCTTGAGATTTACCGGATCAAATAGGATGTGACCAAGCTTACCAATTTTATTGAGGAGCAAAACGAGACGCTTCTCAGCCCCTGACTTCATCACCATCTTTTCCATGTCAACACAACGAGTACCCAGGGGATCTCGAGCATCAAGAACTTCTAGAATTACATCAGAATTTTCAATCACCTTGACTAATTCCTTGAAGAAAGTTCTCTCCGAGTTGTCTGCAACAAATTCAGAAATGCTGTAAAGAAGCAGAAACTTAAAAAAAATCCTCTCCCCACAACAGACCTTCATCGAAACTAAACAAATGAAAAAGATCTCAGCACTAAAAGATTTGACATTTATCTTTCACATACCTCGAGTTTTAGGAATTCTGTCAGAAACATCAGCTACTCTATCCTCTCCATCAGAACCTTCTTCTCTCATCTCTTCATCCTCCAACAGCCCCAATTTTCTCTTTTTAGCCTAAACACGTGAAAAAAGATCGCATTTTTCAACAAAGTTAGAAAATTGGAAAGTGACTCAGCAACAGTGAGCGGTATAAATGAATACATGTTTCAATACTCCTCAACATCGCAACCATAATTTCGAGTGCATATGATTTGAAACACCAAGCACCAAAAAAAAAAAAAAAAATGGAAGCCTTTTGTCAGCTCTAGAGATTCAACTCATGAAATGGGTCAACTAAATTTCATCCACTCCCCATTACTCTAATTGCTTCAAATCTTACAATTACCCAAAATTACGAAATCCAGAATAAGCACTACTAGCATACCAAAACCTTATTTACGAAACCGAAAACATATAACAGGAGCTAGAAAACAAGGGAGAGCAAATTAAGTGTTGTACCCTCTCTTTACGGGCCGCCTTCTTCTCCTCGAGCTCCTGGATCGCACGGTGGCGTCGGGCCTCGAGGGCCTTGAGCTCCTGCTCCTTGAAGGGCCAGTCATTGGGTATGCCTGGATCCTTCTCGGCCTTCTGCTTCTTGTTTAGGCCCAATTTCTTGGCTTCTTTGGCCTTCTTCTTGTGGTGCTCCTTCACTTTCCTGATTATCTTGTACTTCTTCTTAAGAGAAACCCTCTTGCTCTTGCTCTCTGTGAATTTACGCCCACAAAATGATGAAAGATTTAATTTTTATTCTTGATTAAAAATGGCGCATCTGAAAAAAAATAAGAACATATGGCCTAAAGAACGCCATAATAAGAAGATCTTAATACCGTACTTTTGCTCTTCTTCACCATGTTTCTGCGTTCGTCGGTATTGAGGAGGGTTTTGAGAGGACTAGGGTTTTGGTTGTTGGGACGATGACGATGGTTTGTGATCTTAATAATTTTAAGAAAATTGTTGAAAATGGTTGAAAATAATAATAATAACTAGTATTTGATCATGAAAAATTTAAATTATCTTAACTTATAAGTTACGTGTATGTATATAATTGTAAAATTATAAGTTAAATATAGTATCATATTTTAAAAAAATTGTCATTAGTGAAAATGAACATCATAAAAGTATCCAAATTCATCACTAAAATTATATAAATAAAATAGATGATTGATTTTCATTAAATTCAACTAATATAGTGTACTACAATTTTGGATGAAAATTTTGAATTTGAATGAGCTGGTGTAAAGATCTCTATTACAAAAGATGACTTTTCTTAAATGTATTTTGTGTTGTATCTCTAGCATATATCAATACTTAATATTTCTTTTGCATTTGAATAGTCAACATACAAATTAAAAAAAATATTTTTAACCATTCAAATTTATGGGTTTAAACATTATCTCATAACCAATATTCTCAAAATATAGAGAAATAAAAAATAGTAATTACATGAAACCGCTACAAATCCAAAATATAGTAAAAAATAGGTGGATGATTGTATGTAATAAATTAAAAGAAAAAAATGTTGTAACGATTTTTTGATGGAGGTCATAAATTTTTTTATTAAATGCAACCTATTTTTATTAAGTAAACTCATATTATTATTAATTGGAGGCTGAATAAAATTAAATGAAGTTTGCCAACAATTATATATAATTATATATATAGATAATTTTAAGAAAATAAAAAAAAAAAGAACCAAAATGAAATTGGTTGAAAATAATAATAATAACTAGTATTTGATCATATGATAAATTTAAATTATCTTAACTTATAAGTTACGTGTATGTATATAATTGTAAAATTATAAGTTAAATAATAGTATCACATTTTACAAAAATTATCATTAGTGAAAATGAATATCATAAAAGTATCCAAATTCATCACTATATTTATTATATAAATAAAATGGATGTGATTTTCATTAAATTCAACTAATATAGTGTACAAT